GAGCATTCCATAAATATTATTTGATACACATTAGAATCGGTTTGGGAGCCTCCGGCGGAGGGTTACATGACTCTCGCGGAGCAAGAAGAGGAGGCGAAGGAGGAGATGCTCCAGAAAGAGCTTATGGAACAATTGGACAGGCAGGAAGCGGTCGAGAAGGCGGATATTCTTGAGGAACAACGGGCCAATGTAGAAAGGGAGAAGCTGAGAGAGTTCAGGAAACGAGCCGTTGAAAATGACGACACCCAAGGTAACGACGAAAGCGCGGAAATAAAGAAGGAAGAGATCAAAGAGGAACGACCTTACTGGAGGGATTATAGTGTACCCGAGAGACCGCAACCTTACGGATCCTGGCAAGTCGTGGTACCAAGGTAAATATTTGAACAGCCATACTATTCCGATCGCCAAGATGGATTAAGGCATTTTTTGCGAAGATTTGTCGCACAACAATAAACTCTCTGTTCTTAATATTAATTCTCGAGTGGGGCCGATGCGTAAGATACAACATTTGTATAATTTTACATACGATTAAACGCGTAGCATATTACTTTTTCTCGAACTAAAAGTATCGAATTAAAAATAAGTATTGAATTAAAAATTAGTATAAACTGGAAGTATATTCTTCAATATTTATAAATGAGATAATTGGAACTTGATAAAGTTCACAAATTAAGAATGAACTTTTGCTACAGAAGTTAAGCTATATTAATTGTTCTATTAGTTGATTAATATTCAACTATTTGGTAGTATTATTATATGTATACAAGCGTATTATATATTATTATATACAAGTATATTATTTTATTATATTATAGTTGAATAAGATCACTCGTGGATTAATTAATTTCCCACATTGTACAGTCCCAAGATAAATGCGAGAACGTTTGATATTTCAGCAAAAACAAACCAGTGGATCTCCAGTTGCCAAAGCAACAGAAGCAGATACAGTTGCCCACATTTGAGAAAAGAGAACCACCGCCACCACAAAGGACTTTCAAAGAAAAAACTATTACACAAATTAATACCGGTGATAGTGATGATGAAAGGGCACCCACTACCTTTAAAAAGAGAAAGATCGGTAATAAGAATGTGCGTAAAAGAACAACTGACGATTGATCGTAATATTTATTTATAGAAAGTGATATGATCTTTCATCTTCCGTGGTTTACACCTAAGGTATTTTTTAAACACACAGACAAATAAACATGATTAAATTAATACTTATTAATCATAAGTTTGCATTTACATAATTTCAGACAGAAATCTGAATTCTGTCTTCCTTTATACATATTTTACTGCAGAAACCTGTAAATAAGAAACTCATACTTTGTAATCTACATAAGTATGTGTGTACATATTTATATACATACACACATATGAATATAATTTTAATTGTAAATAAATAGTTTTATTCTATTTCGTATAAAAATTTTGATCCTATAATAACTAATATTAATTTTTATTATCTCTATTTGATGTAAAATTAATGTATTAATTTTTTCATTATTAAGAAGCATCACTTACAGCAAGTAATAATGTTGTAAAAAATATGTACATATCTTTTTTCTTATACTATCTTTGTTCTTAATTTTAATAACGGTTCTGATATTGAAACCAAACAACTAACATTCATATACACTCTTATTGTTATCATCTGAATAATCAATAGTCAATATTATCAGTTCTGTCATATTTGTCGTGCCATATATCATGTATCAATATTTTTCAAATTAACATTTTGTGTGCTATAAACGCGCACTTGCGAGATAATATATGGCGACATGGGATTATAAACATGCGCATTATTTGATAAATTTAATGTTAATAAGATAAAATTTCAGCAAATAGTGAATTGGTTGAAGCAAACAACGCGAGACTCGTCTCTGTTTTAACTAAACGAAGCAATTTACATATTTAATTGCTTTGTTTTTGCAATACATTGAGTCATATTATTAAAATATTTGAGCAAATATTCTAAGTTTTAACGAATAAGTGTGAAATTATGAATGTAAGGGCTAAAATAAAAATTATTGCGAGTATTGCACATTGTCAGTAAAAGAAATGATCTTTAAGAAACTGACAACACATAAACTTCTCCATAAAGCTATGTACAGAATATACAGGATAAAGGTGTATGTTTTACAAATTTCTTTGCTACAGTTATTAGTTTTCAGACCTCTTGGATAAAGGTAACACTTTCACACATATGCCGCATGCACTGAATCCGAGCCAATGGTATGCTTAACATTGTTACTATTTTTCGTACACCGCACGCCATTGAGTTCATCCACAATGTCCTCGCGATTCCGTCCTTTGGTCTCCGGTAGCAACGCGTAGCAGAAGATGAAATTGCACGCGCAGAAGGCGGCGAGGAGGAAGAAGCAGCCGTGCATGCCTAACAGAGCAATAAGATCGGTGAAGCTCTTCGTTATGACGAAAGCGGCTGCCCAGCTTACAGAGAGAGTTACGGTCGACGCCAGAGGGGTCACGTCACGGGCGAATATCTCAAACAGTATCACGACGGGTCCAATGCCCATTCCCACAGAATACGCTACCATGAAGGTAGATAATGCCACTACCGGTATCGAAGAATAGGCGGACACGTCATATTGGAGATTCTGAAGAGAGCAGAACGTGGCTATCACACAGTGACATACGCACATTCCTGCGGCGGATAGGAGAAACAAGGGCCGTCTGCCTAAACGATCCACCACGATCGTCGCTACCCACGACCCGAAGAGCTGTAAAGCCGCCACGATAATAGCTGATGCGTTCGGCGACAACGAACTACCGGACATCTTGAAGATAGTCTCCGTGTTGCTGATCTGGATGGGAAAATCAGAAACTCAGATTCGTTTTAAATACAATGAGATTGAAATTCTATAACTTTTTGTCATAATGTTAATGCATTAGTAGATTAGTACGTTAAGTTGACTATAATTGGGAAACACGAGAGGCCTGGATTACTGTTCATCATCGATAAGTCACCTGTAAATCATCAATAATTACCATCCCGAAGACTCCGCAAGTTTGTTGAAAGATGAACAAACCCAGGGCAATTATCAGTGCTTTGGTCGTCGCTTTGTCTCTAAATAAATCCGAGAACTTAGCAGTCCTCATGGACGCGATTTCCTTGACTTGCAGCTGTACATGCGACAGCGCACATTCCGCCACCAGAACGTTTCCACCTTTCAACCACTTTAAGGCTCTGGAACAGCAAATTACAACATTTCTCCTTCGCCCTCTTTAAGTAGAATATTTGCTTCTAGATCCTAATTACCTAATCGCCTCGTGCATGCGATTTTGACGCACCAGGTAGGCCGGCGATTCCGGCAAGAAGATGAAAGTGACGAAGAAGAAAATAGCTAGCGCTATGACGACCACGGGTAAGGTGTGGAAGGACATTATGCCACCCAGGATATAAGCTATTAGTACCCCGGTGTTCACGGAGAACACCAGGATAGCGGCCAGCATGCCGCGGATGCTGTCGCACGAGATCTCCGAGACGTAATTCGACACGAGGAAGAACGTACCGGCGCCGGAGACACCGGTCAGAGCCCTCGACACGTAGATGTACGTGTGATTGGTGGCGAAGGCGATCAGCAGCCAGGCGATCAATATCGGTAATGTCAACGCGTAGCCGAATCTCTTCCGGCTAAATCTGTCGGGTATCACCGACAGCAGCACGGTCACGATGGTGCCGCTCAAGGTCAGAATGCCGGTCAACCAGGATACGCCAGCGTCTGTCATGGGCTCGTCCCCGACGGGCGACGAAGAACTTTGCAGCTGCAGAGCTGACGGTGACGGCCATCCTATCACGATTCCGTAAGACAATGCCAATTGATTCACTGCAAATACATGTCACGGAATAGAAGGTTTAAAGATCCAATAGAAACTTCCTAATATATTAAATATATATAATATACATATGTATATATACTTCCCAATAGAAACTTGCTGATATATCAAACATTTTTGTTAAATGTCATTTTACAAGTATTGACGTAAAACATTAGTTTACTACAAAAATAATACAATTTATTTAGAATAATCATTTGCCTAAGTCAATTGTCTTATTTTTCTTTTCTTTATAATATTTTTCTATTTTTTAAGGGCATCCATCATCGGAGGAAGTGATTTCTCTCCTTCGAACACAGGGACCAATCTACTTTCACGCGCGTTGCACACGCGAGGCACATCTCCTCCGCACCTCAAGGAAGAGCTCTCTGAGAAAAAGGGTTTTTTCTCCCGTCGCACTTACCGATCAATGCGGCAAGGAATTGCCGCAACTTCCCCGGCTCCTTCGGCGGTTTTTCGGACTTCTCCATCGCACGTTTTTCCAAACGGCCGCGACCGCACCGATAGCTCCGCGATTATTTATCGGCTTCGAGCCAGGGATTGACGAGGAGTGAAATTTGCGAATTACCAATACATTGGTACAAATAGAACGATCGTCTTGCACTCGACCTGCGTACGCGCCGTAATTCGATTTATAGCGATCGCTATTCACGCGGAAATTCTCGTCAGGAAGGGGCACCCTTATCTCGTTGTCACTCGTTAATGAAAGCGCGTGAATAATAGGCACACACAGTATTCTGTGTACACGGCAAACATTCCGCTTTATCGGATCCATCGTCGGCTTAAGGAAGTCTATTAGACTCTGATAGAATCAATAATGCAGCCGTATCTGGGCCTCGTAAATATCAAAGACCCCGAATACGCCGAAGATATGTGTACAAATGTGTATCTGAAACTTGATAAAATTCCGCGCTTCTTGCGTCACAATGCCTAGTTATTTTATCATTTTATTTCTAGTCTTATTATCAAGTATAAGATTGTTCCAATTTTAGCTTTATTATTATTACGTATAAACCCAATTTTATATTTAAGATCGTCTTAAGTTTGATCTTAAATAAAAAGATTTTATCCAGCAGATAGTTAAAAAGAATCACTTTTTCCTCGATCTAAAGTTTAGATTCTATTTTTCTCGCATAATATAGGGATAGGATATATGATTTTATTTTGATGCGTAGTTTGCCAAGCGAAGAATGTACACAAATTTACGTTGAATATATTAGACCCAAGAGATCCAGCCCGCCTGTATTTCGGCACACTTTCTATTTAACTTGATTATCATGGCAGTATCATAACTCATTAGGATTTTATTTTCGTTGTTTATAATTTACACGAATAGACGGCCAAGATAGACCGACAGTGACGTCGAGTCGTGTGATTAAAAGTTTCTTTCAGAAGATGCCATCCAAGATACTGTTGTTGGAACGTTATATATGCTCAACGGGTATCGTGATGCAAAATTTATTTATTTTTTTCTTTTGCGCAGAGACATTGTTCGAGCGGAATACAGCCACCCCACCCCCCCTAGTTTTATCTCATTTTAAATCATCGTGTCGTGAACAAGCGAGAGTTGCACCGCGATGATTTACTGCCGCTGCATTTCGCCGAGTTACGAAAGAGAATTAATTTACCGCCGCTGTCCGCGACCGTGCGAATCGTGATTAATTGATAAAATTACGACCCGCGGCGAGTTAATTACGACGCGGAAAACCGTGCGCAGCTACGTTTGCACGTTTGTTGTCGCGCGATAATGGCGCGCGACGACTTTTCAACGCCTACTAATTATGTCCCGAACTATCGTTTGACTTTAGCACGTTCCTCATTCTTCCCGAGAATTTCTTTTTTTCCCTTTTTCTTATCGCAGAGAAGATCCGGAGATCCGCCGGAGATTGTTTCAAATTCAAATCTTGCGCGCGTCGTCGCGCTCGACGTCGCGCCAATCGTGACTGGGTTCGAGGCTGGGGAGGGGGGGGGGAAAGAACCGTCTAGTCGCTGTCAAACAAACGATTGCAGTCTGAGGACGGTATTTATAGTCTAAATCCTATATTCAAGATCGTCCTAAGTGTGATCTTGAGAAGCTATACGTCCCGTTGGTCGAATGAAGATCTCGGACGCCCAAGATTGGAACAATTCTAAGTATATAAGACTTTATATTTTATACTTATATAAGATCGGATAAATACTGGACTATGTGAATAGTCCGATCTTGTCGTTTTAAATTTTTAATTAAAATTTTATCCAGCCAATCAAATAATCAGTGACGATTTCGGATTCGTTTCCTCCGCGAGCTTTTATTTCACGCGTTGATATTTTTTATAGAATTCTCCATTCCGGAGCCTTTTCCAGCTCGGCGGGATTTAAATCCGCGCTCGAGCGTTCCTATATCTCGCGAGAGGCTCGCGAATCGATAGTTGACCGCATCAGCTGTTCTCGCCTTCCCCCCTCCCTCCCTTAAGGTCGCCACCTCGCTACCTGTGTCGTCACGGCCATATTAGGCACGCGTACAGGAGACGGAAGGAATGAGGACGTTCCGCGATAAATGAGGCTCTCCTGAAGGCTCTCGAGGTGCGCACGGTTTTTATCTACCTCTCCCGGACGCGTCTCGCCGATCTGTAATCAATCGCCGGAAGTTGAACGACCAGAATCGATCGCGTCGGGGAAGCGTCGCGTCGCGTCGCGTCGCGCATCGCCTCTGCTGTCACGATCATCTGTGTATTGTTTTATGCGAAGCAGGTCTCTTCTCGGCTGCGCTACGGGAGTCTACCCGCCCCCCGCCCCGGTCGGTGGATCGCGAGCGACAATCCGCGAAGCATGGCATGGCACTGCAACGGCACTACGAACCAAGAGATGGTGACCAAGCTGAAAGGTAAATGATCCCACACCCCCCCCTTTCCTCTCTTCCCCTGCGACCCGTCGCACGATCGACGCTTCTGAAAAGGAGGACTTGATTACCGCCGAGTTAATTAGCGCCCGAGCGCATCACCTTGCTAGAGTTACAGTCGTTCGCTTTGCACGGCAATTAGGGACAGATTATTCGCAGATGCTGGCATACTGGCAGCGGACAGCGCGGAAGCCGCCATGGTCGCTGTTGACAGAGCCAAATACTGCCACGAGCCGGACCCTTATCTCGATCGTCCCCGAAGAATCGGTTACAACGTGACCATCAGCGCGCCGCATATGGTAAATGTGTACCTCGTCTACTTCGTGGTCTACAGAATACTGTCATGTGCATGACAGATAAGCTTACGGATCATCCTTGCTCCATAACGTTTGCATAAAGTGTTGTACAGATACAAGAAATATACTCGCACAGCCGCGAAACATGTCTGCAAACGTATACAGTTAATAATTCAAACGACATAAACTATTAATATGATTCTCATATGATTTATGATCAATGTAAGACTCTGACGAGCAAATTTCTTGGTTGACGCCACTTGACGTTGGTACTACATACCTCTTTTGATTTGTTACATGTAGTACAAATTAATTTCAATATTTAATTGTAATACTCGACACTTGAGTATTACAAATGAATATCTATTTATATATAATGAGGTTGGTAGGGACAATTATCAGGAAGGCGATTTGAAATGGGGTTATCAGAGTAACCTTCTTATCTTATTTTTACGTTATTTATGTTAAACTCATATTTGGCTTGATGACTGCAGACTTTTCCAAACAACAGTATCGACGCGTCACACAGATAATTGTCACTGAAGATAATATACGTTTTCTTGAGAATTTAATCGGCTCGCTAACGGCTTGATAAATGACGCTCTCTCGTATCTTTTGCAGCATGCATACGCGCTGTCTATCCTCTCCGATCAGCTCGTCGACGGCGCCAAGGCACTTGACGTCGGTTCTGGCTCGGGCTACCTGTCCGCATGCATGGCGTTCATGGTAGGCTCGCACGGACGCGTAGTAGGCATCGAGCATATTCCCGAGCTCATAGAGATCTCGACTAGGAACGTGCGCGAGGACAATCCGCACTTCCTCAAGGAGGACCGCATCAAATTTGTGGGTAAGCTCTCCGTTAACACTCGAGAGTTTCCTGTCTCTGCTGCCGTTCCTGGGTAGTTTCCCCCTCACTCAGACAGTCGAAGCTCCTTCTCTCGTCAATGTTACGCCATTCCTTCACGTCTCATTTAACCAATGAATCTGAGCGTAAAGCTCGTCAAAAACGATGAGAGAAAAATACAAAAGAGAAACGTTCAAGAAGTATTACAATTTATGCATATAGTTTGAATAAAAGATTACTCGTGATCCATCCACGTGGAGTAGGTATGTACGTTGCCGTGAAGAGTCGAACGGAACACTGTCCACCGACTGTGTGGCTTTGCTGTAAAGGTAAAAGATAAAGACTGCCGACTAACGACAGGTCATTATGAATGCGCCTAGTGGGAGACGGCAGATTGGGACACGCTGCTGACGGCCCTTACAACGCTATACACGTTGGAGCAGCGGCCGAAACTTTACCGCAGACGGTGAGCGCGAATGACACGCTAGTACGCGCAATTCGGGAAAATCAGATGTACGAGAGATTGCGAGTGAACGACGTGACCCTTTTGCTTCTTTTTTTTGCAGTTGATAGACCAACTGGCTCCCGGAGGTCGACTGATCTGCCCGGTCGTGGCGATAGAAGGTTTCCAAAGGTTTCAAGACCTGCTGCAGGTGGACAAGAGCACAGACGGCACGGTCACGAAGAAGAAACTGATGCAAGTCTCTTACGTTCCTCTCACGGATCCTACCACTCAGTTACGTAATTAGAGTCGTTAAGGTGAGGTGTCTCACGGTGGAGAGAAACGCAAAAGAGTTTCTCGAGCGGACAGAATTAAAAACGATCGCGTACGAACTCGATTGATTAACGATAATCAGAACTCTTGTAACTCCACGAACTAATTTCTTTTCCACGCATGCATAGATATATGGAGTGCACGTCGTCTTCGATTGGGAATATATCAATAAACTATATATATTTTGTACACGCCCTTCTTTTCTTCGCGCCGTCCTTTCTATTAATATATCGTAGTCGCGGCTGTGTACGACGTTCGATGCTATCGCATTATCTTAGCCTGTTATCAAGAAATATTGAACTTACGGTGATATTAATGTGTTTGTTCCACAAACGTTCTTAATCCTAGAACTTCCATTAAGATGCGAGACAGGATTGTAAGGAACGAAATTAATAATAGGGAAAATAATAGCGAATCTTAAATAACGAAGTAAAATATATCTTTATACTTTTATATACAATGAAACTCCGTGTTTATTCTGTGTCCGAAAATTGCAATTGTTTACGTGAACAAATATCGTAATTTTAGGAATAGTCAAATTACAGGAGAAACAAATTTTCCGCTTTAAGCTCTATCGCGATAAGAATAGAGACTGATTTGCGTATTCGTTGGAAGCACATATGAATTATTTGGAGGTAAAAGAAGACCTGACAAGACCGATCGAGTAGCGTCGCAATTCTGGATTTCGAGCGAAATTCGCGGGAGAAGATCGATCGAAGGGGAGCGCGGAAGCGTCCGCCAATCGGGGATCGCTGCTCAGGCCGCTTGCGTACAACGAGGGAGAGGAAACCCACGGCGACTGGCGGCCTCTTCTCGTCTATTTTTAAAAGCGCGAGGCGTGTGTGGCACGTTTCGCGCGCGAACCGTTCCTCAACGTTGCGGTCGTTGCGACGAAGGTCGCGAGCTTTCGCTCAACTGCGCTCAACGAGTTCCCGATTACCCTCGCCGGCCCGCACGTCGGGCGCGTGTCGATCCAATTCGTGTCGTGTTCCGATTATAAATTGTCACCAGCGCTTGACGCGTCAGGAAACGATTAGGGCGAGACGACCTAAAGACGCAGTAGTGCCCTAAATCCGAAGCGAGAAAGGGAGAAGCGGATCGAGAAGGAGTTGCCGAGATAACGCTCCTCGGAGCGGTTCAGAGCGGTTCACGCTCGGAACGTCGCCGAGCGCGAATCGAACGACGACCGGGTAGTGGCAGGTTGCCGGTCGATCCCACGGCTCGTTTGTTTGTTTTCGTCCTGAGACGCGTCACACCGGTCCGCCACGCATCTCCTCAAAATTCGGTCCCGCGAGTTCGTCGAGTGCCTTTGCGCGACGCTCGCGATCCTGTCGCCCGTCGCGATCGCCCGCGACATGGCCACGTACGGGCGTTATCGTGGCAGAAACAATCAGGATCTCGTGGAGCATCTACGGCGTAAGTATCGCGTCGCGCGGTTATGCAACGTTGTGTCATCGCGTTGCCCCCCGTCGCGTCGCGGCGCCGCGCAGGGCCGTATACGCCGCCTCTCTTTATCTTGACGTCGGAGCACGTCGGTGATTGATTACAGCGCAGTTGATGCAATATTTACAATCCGTTCTGCTCGGATTCACGAAAATAAACGATTGTTGCCGCTCGCGTTTGAATTTAGAGCAATTTTAGTTTGATTGGAAATACATACACATATATATAATGGGTGCTTTCCATTTACATCAAAACTCAAATAATTCTCACTTGTGACGTCGTTCTATCCTTTTTGGCAATTAATGAATAATAAAGACAGAATGACATCACAAGTGAGAATTATCTGAGTTTTGATGTAAATGGAAAGCAACTAATGTGTGTATGTAAGAAATTAATTGTAGAAAATAAATGTAAATTTTACTTATATTTTTTGCAAATATTCTTATCGTTATTTAATGGAAATATGTTGCATGAAATCGTTTTTTAGGGTCCAGGGTGATCAAATCTGACAGAGTGTTCGAAGTAATGAGTTCTGTGGACAGAGGGAAATACTTAAATACTTATTCCACTGTTGCTTACGTAGACGCACCACAAGGGATCGGTTACGGTGTCACTATCAGCGCTCCTCACATGGTACAATACAGTGTATATCCTCTTTCCTTGCATATGAAAGCGTCACAATGTCGTATGTCTGAAAATCAATATTCAATTTCCGTTGTAAGATAAAGAAAAGATTGCCTTTGTGAAAGAGTTTCATTTCATTGTAAGAGTAAAGCAATAAATAGTAAATGGATACACACTGACAAAGACAAAAAAAAAAAAACACTGAAAAGGAAATTACATGTTGGAAGACAAACGGAAATTCTTTAGCACGCGTATGCCCTGGAATTGCTTGAAGAAAAGTTGCGTAACGGCACGAGGGCACTGGACGTTGGTTCTGGATCCGGATACCTGACGGCATGCATGGCTCTTATGATGGGGCCGCATGGGTTGGCCGTTGGAATCGATCACATACCAGAGCTTCGAGCGTTGGCCGAAGAGAACATTCGACTAGATCACCAAGAACTTTTGACCGATGGACGCGTGGAATTGGTTGGTAAGTAAACATTTATCTTTAAATAATCACGTTTATTATTTTACGCGTCACAAGTTGCTTTCTGTATGACGAAAATTATTCGATCACGATTGCATTTGTTTAGTTGGCGATGGAAGATTGGGATATCCCAGTCGTGGACCGTACGACGCTATTCACGTGGGAGCGGCTGCTAAAGAAATGCCACAACCGGTAAGAGAAACGCTCGCGGAATTATTTCCGGTTATCCCAGAGCAAATGCAAATTTTTTGGTCTTACAGTTGATAGATCAGCTGGCCCCTGGTGGTCGTTTAATAGTACCGATGGGTCCGGAGAACTCGGATCAAACCTTAATGCAAATTGACAAGACTCTGGACGGCAAAATCAAGCAGCGATCTCTGATAGGCGTGGTGTTTGTCCCGCTCACTGACAAGGAACGACAGTACCGTCGATCATGAGGCACGTGTCAGCTCCAATAAGAGAGCGCCATTTTATTTATTTTCACGGTTACATGTATTATTTTGTTATTTTAACTTGTGAAAAACAATAGTTCTATAGAAAAATACCTATATACATGAAATCAAACTGATTTGTCTGCAATCGCTGTCTGTAAACGCTGCACTGGCACATCCTTGCACAACAAATTTGTTGCAAAGATTAATCGAAATTTAGTATGACAATATTTCCGTATCTTCGAGATTGCGACCGTAGTATAGCTTGTCTCAACATATTCACAAAAGAATAAGTAGATATTGCCGCAATTTCTACTCGCAGAGGATTTATATTTAGACAGGATCAATAATATGCAATAACATGCATCGATTAATGTTTTTCAGCTTATAAACTATATGAGTGCACAGTTGAGAAAAAGAAAAATAAATTTAAACTAATGTTCATCCAAATGTAGTATTAATAGTAGATTTGTCACTTTAGAATTGCTTAGAACTGTGATTTCAATTACTGTGAAGTTTCTTTCGGTTGATTTTACTATGAACGAAAGAAAAGGTTATACCAATCAATATCTAAGTCATCATCTAATAACTTATTATTTATGTGCTCCATAATCATCTTATTGTAGGTTTCTGTCAGGAACCTATTTCACAGATTAAACGAAGAGGATTATGTAATTAAGTGTTTTATTTATTAATATACATAAAATTGTTTACATTTCCGCGTATAACGAGGCTACTATTGTACCTATCGCAGGAATCTTTTTTGCAAAGTCCCTAAAGAATCTACAAAAATCGGGATATTATGTAGTGTAATGAATAAATTACACAATTTAACTAGTAATTTTGCAAAATTTTAGGTTCTCTGAAATTGAGCTAAAATTCTTATTAATTTATATTTATGAATATATTATAAATTATATTTATAATATATTATAATTATGATTAATAATTTATATAAATTTATATTTATAATTTTTATTTATTCCACAACACTCCG